ATGATAACCTAGCTCTTACTAAACATTTATAATTAACATCCAACCTAACATTGATGATAGCTTTCTATCTAACATACATGATAACCAAGCTCTTACCAAACATTTATCATCAGCGTACTACCTAACATTGACGATGACTATCTATCTAACATACATTAAAACCTAGCTCTTACCAAACCTTTATAATTAATGTCCTACCTAACATTGGTGATAATGTTCTATCTAACCTACATGATAACCTAGCTCTGACCAAACATTTATATTGAACGTACTATCTTAGATTGATGATGACTATCTATCTAACATACATTATAAGCTAGCTCTTACCAAACATATATAATTAACGTCCTACCTAACACTGATGATAATGTTCTAGCTAACATACATGATAACCTAGCTCTGACCAAACATTTATATTGAACGTACTATCTTAGATTGATGATGACTATCTATCTAACATACATTATCCTACCTAACATTGATGATAATGTTCTATCTAACATACATTATCCTACCTAACATTGATGACAACTATCTATCTAACAGACATTATAACCGAGCTCTTACCAAACATTTCCATTGAACGTCCTACCTTACATTGATGATGACTATCTATCTAACATACATTATAACATATCTCTTACCAAACATTTATATTGAACGTACTATCTTAGATTGATGATGACTATCTATCTAACATACATTATCCTACCTAACATTGATGACAACTATCTATCTAACATACATTAAAACCTAGCTCTTACCAAACATATATAATTAACGTCCTACATAACATTGATGATCACTTTCTTTCTAACATACATGATAACCTAGCTCTTACCAAACATTTATCATTAACGAACCACCTAACATTGATGATAACCTTCAATCGAACATACATGATAGCCTAGCTCTTACCAAACATTTATAATCAACGTCCTACCTTACAGCGGGATAGCAGTCCGATGATAATCATTACTGGGTTCCTTCAACATCTACATATATGGAACATTTACGTTAACCACACTTTATGGTTCAAATTTCTTTGACGGCAAACTAAACAATGGCGACTTGGTTCTGGAAATTTTGACCGCGTCACTACCACAGCAGTGTCTCAATGCGTGTACATGATGACCCTTATAAACAATTAAAAATGTTCGAAGGTTCACTCACATTTTATCAATTTAAAATTCAAAAGCTATTTAGAAATACCAAATATAGTGTTATTCTATGTATTCTATAAAACTCATATATCGGTGTAGAATCACTGGTACTCTATTTTCCTAGCAAACACGGCTACCGTAGTTACCATCGTATCAACCCGCTTCGCCGTGTTCCTTCGTGTTTAGTATTTAAACAGATTTAGGATTTAAATACACGTATTGACCAAAATGAAGGTCAATCCTTAAATTCACACGTTGTTACTATAGCTTCCTTTGTTCGCAATTTTGCCGTTGTTGTGATGTTAATGTAACTGGTCATAACGGAAACTATCTCTGTGTTTTGGCACGGACATATTCTTGTCTCCTCAATAACCATAAAGTGTGGTTAACGTAAGAATTGAACTGTTTTGTATGGCATTTATGGAACATTTGAATGATACAGCTTTGCAAGCAAACAATATATTGCGCGCTATTAGAAAAGTCCATAAACCATACAAAAGCAGTCAATATATTTCCATTTTCTCTGCCTTTTATGATTTTTGTTTAACTTGCAAGTTATATTTAGTATCTGAAATCCCCGCCTTATCGACAGTAAACACAAATTTGTTCAATAGCTGGAACAGTGTCTTGTTGCGCGCTGATTGGCAAAAAAGTAGTACTTTGAAAATGGAACAAATACTGGAATTGTATTCCACAATTTATTATCAATACAATTGCGTATGGTTTGTCTATAGAGTGATTTAAGTTATCAATAGAAATCAAATCTGAAAGTTAGATTGAACATTGTTTTGATTTCTTCCCGGAACAAATTACGCGCATGGATAAAAACAGTCAACACCGTAATCCGACCTTGCCCTGCATGAGGGAGTTATTTTTTGAGGTTGAATGTTTGAATTTGCGAAGAATCCAGGCGTTATTTTTTTGTTGATTGCATGGCACCTGGCTACAGTTGGTATTTACTACAACAACCTCAGTACATTTGTTTGTGCTTTTGACACGGTCCTGTTATATGACCGGAGTGAGGATTCGTTTTTGTTGTTAGACATAAACATGATATCCCGTGTCCCGAAATTTTGATAATTCAAATATTGTACGATTTTGGACGAGATTGCATTCGTGTCAACTGATCAAAATCAATGTCTGCCAAGTTGATAGTTGTTTAAGTTTCATCCCTGCTAGATGTGAATTCATCTTGTAAAAAGGCGGGCAAATCGAAGGAAAATCCGGGAAGATCGTTTGATTCTGTCATGGTTATATGACAGACGATATTTTTGATATAATGTCTAATAGTTAATATTGTTTTCTTTGTTACTTCAACCGATGTGCATGTTGTACAATGGTACAGAGCTTTGCCTTTTTGTTTTTATAATTAAAATTTTTGTTTAAATATTTTCTCGATTTTGTTTTTTTACACATTTACAATTGTATTGTCAAGTTTCGCAATGGCCTGTGATATTTTCACCAGCCACTATGTTTTTTACATTGACTATTGTAGTTCCGGTCTTTGTTGTATTAATACGCTAATAATGTTGTCTCGTGGTGCATGACATTTAAAGTCTCATCATCGACACAGCTTATCTAGTAAGTGACAATGCAATGCAAATGTAAATATGTCTCCTTATTTTTAATATACGTTTACGAAATTGCAGATTCAGCTTTCAATTGCAAATGTATTTGAACAACGTCATACTTCGACTGAATATAGGCATTTGTAATACCACAAAATTAAAAAAAAAAAATCCAGTGAAGGTGTTCCGTGCAGGTAACACAATATTTTGTATTCTCTTTCATGTATGTACGTCGACTAAAGCATTCTTGGCATATTCTAGCAACTTATCTCTTGCTGAAAAATAATTGTTATTTATTGAAACACGCAAATAGGAGAAAAAGTAAAGTTTTTCTTTGCATAATGTACATTTAAATTGTATTCTATATTATCTAAGAGATTATATTAGAAAAAAGGGTTTTACTCGTATTTACAGTGAGCTTCCAAGTGTTGCAATAGGACTATAAAAGTATTCAAAGAAGATTGGAGTCCGTCTGCTGATCTGGATATAAAGATGTGTCATGTGCTTAAAAAAAGTGGACACAATCTATTTATATCGCAATATTTCTTCTAATGCTCTTTTGTTCTTTAACACTGATTTATTTGAGAAAATCTTCTAAATTGTTCAAATAATTGAAAACTAGAACTGGTGTTATTTGTTCTGCTTGTTTTACCTAAACATCTCGGATATTTTTCCTTGTTTTACCTAAACATCCCGGATGTTTCATTACAATTTTAAACGCAGGATATAGTATTTGCATATAGATTTACATTTACTTCTATAGACTGTTTTCTAAAGTCCAAGTCTCAAAACGAACCAAACGCCTTTCTGAAATCTATCGACAAATTGGTTAACCAATAGAAATTAAGGCATGTATGGAGATTGTTTCTGTAACTGCGTATATCGTGGAAGTGATGTCACATGTGTTATGTGTAGAGAGACTGTCGCTGTAACTGTATGTATCGTGGAAGTGATGTCACCTGTGTTATGTGTAGGGAGACTGTCCCTGTTACTGTATGTATCGTGGAGTTAATGTCACGTGTGTTATGTGTAGAGAGACTGTCCCTGTAACTGTATGTCTCGTGGAAGTGATGTCACATGTGTTATGTGTAGAGAGACTGGCCCTGTAACTGTATGTATCGTGGAAGTGATGTCACGTGTGTTATGTGTAGAGAGACTGTCCCTGTTACTGTATGTATCGTGGAGGTAATGTCACGTGTGTTATGTGTAGAGAGACTGTCCCTGTAACTGTATGTATCGTGGAGGTGATGTCACATGTGTTATGTGTAGAGAGACTGTCCCTGTTACTGTATGTATCGTGGAGGGAATGTCACGTGTGTTATGTGTAGAGAGACTGTCCCTGTAACTGTATGTATCGTGGAAGTGATGCCACATGTGTTATAAGAGAAAAGTTCGAGGCGGTAATTGTTTATCGTTTTTTTACATTGAAGATATATGCATGTGTATGTGTTTGCTAGTAGCTGTTACATCTACCATTTATTTGATGTGATAATTGATAGATCATGGTTTTCTTTACAATATTTTAAAATTGAACAGTACCTATTATTGTAACTGTCTATTTAATATGACCGATTATTAATGTTTACAGACAACAGTACACTGCAGAGAAAGATTCTATTTCAATGTGATACGAAGAATGATGGGTTTTTTTTATGTAATAAGTGTTCCTTTCTGTTTTATTGTAACTACCCTAGTTCTAGTTTAGAAGGAATGACATTATTTAGGTTTAACCTAAATGTACATGGCGGCTGTCTTCGATGAAGCAGAAGACACTTATCCAGACTGTGACAACTAGTCTTATCCTGACTGTGACAACTAGTCTTATCCTGACTGTGACAACTAGTCTTATCCTGACTGTGACAACTAGTCTTATCCTCCTTCTAAACTTTCCATGTAAATCGACCATTTGTTCAAAGCTTGTCTTCGATTGATCAACTTTGGGTTCCAATAAAACTTTGATGATATTTCAATATTCTCTATTTTTTTATGAGGTTACCAGTGTTTTACAGTTTACAGTTAATACTCTTTGTTTTTATTGCAACTGTTAAAGTGAAGTTTGTTATGACAGTAACTGATCAGGTGTTTTAACAGTAAATAAATATTTGTGTTTTACAGCACCTGTTAGAGTTAATATTAATGAGATGTGGAAGTGACTTTCTTGTTTTGTTACAACCTTTTTTGATGTATTTTTGAGCAATTGTCATTGTATTATTTCAATGAAAAATATTTTTGTTGGGGCTAAATGTTAAATTAGTTCAAATACATCGAATTCAAAGAAAACATCTTGTAATACAGAAAGATTTTTATTCAACTTTTAACATTTCAGAGTGTCAATGAACCCGATGTTGACTGTTTCCTGTCCCAGTTGTTGACCCTTGATGTCAGAGCAGTAACACACACTTCCGGTACACTGGACTGGAGCGTAACTGCCGATGTCGGTGCATTTGAATGACTTGCCGATCTTACCCGACAACTTATACTCCTGCTTTTCTCGCGCGCAAGCTGAAATAACAGAAATTATTTATATGTATTCAGATAATGCATATATGTTAAAAAGTCTTCTGATAAATGACGTGATAATGTAAAGGTCACATACTGTATTTCTACGGTTCATTACTTATGGTAAGCAATTATATTTGGGGAGTGCAAAAAAATGAGTAAAACAGTTTAAACAGTACAGGAAATGTTGTTAAACTGAAGAATTAGTTCCAGAAATTGAAATCCACACATAAATCAAACTATACACATACAGCAATCAGTATTGACGGCTTCACCGATGCCGAAGTCATCCGTCAGCTTGGAGCCGTCGGCTGCTACACAGTTACAACTGGAAATAAAACAAGACATACGTCACTTCCGGTTACAATATAGAGTATTAAAAATATTAATATTCATAATCAAATGATTTCTGTAGTCCTTTGAACTAGTCGTGGTGTATTTCACACGGTAGTTCGCGTGTTTATACTAAATCCGTGTATACAGGGAATACACGCATGCACAGTGACGCGGATATAAGTACGTATACAGAATGTACCGTACTTCAGAAACCGACGCCAGTATAAGTACACCAGCCCTGTTATTTCTGTACCGAATCTTTTACTAGTCTATCTGCCTACTTACACAGATCCGAGACACTGACGAGGGGTGTAGGTACCGTCCTTCAGGCATTGTGGTTTGATGGCACCGATAGGATGAGAGCCTGTCTGTTCTATAATTTCCGCTATCTCAGCCTCAATACTGTCAAGTTCGTCCTGACACGTCACAGGGTCAACTGTTGTAATGCATGTTATTATATGTTATAAACAGTTCAACTGATGTACCGGTCTATTTTCTAAAATCAAATATTAAACGTAATACTATTTAATTTAGAAAATGTTCACAAACCTGTGCAATTAATTTCATAATACTAGTTATGCATTAACTTATAAATTCAACTAAAATATGAGTATAATAACCGTAACAAATTATCCATTGATAAATAGCCAAACAATCATAGTTAGGTTACAGATATCAATTTGGCATTGAAATAGAGGAAAATGCAAATTTCATAATATAAAAAAACCCAGATTAAATACTGATACTGTACATTGTAACATTACGCAATGAACTTCGTTTGTGAGTAATAATGCATTTTAGGCCTATATTTTAATTCAGAATATATACCCATGCATAGTGTCTGAATAGTGGTAAGCTGCAAATTAATAAACTAACGACAGTTAGTTGATACACTAAATACGGTAACGGCAGTTAATTGATACACTTAATACGGTAACGATAGTTATTTAATCATCATCATCGGCAGATACAAATGGACTAACGAGAGTCAGTGTATACATTAAATAAAGTCAATAATACATTAAATAAAGTCAATAATACATTAAATAAAGTCAATAATATAATAAATAAAGTCAATAATACACTAAATAAAGTCAATAATACACTAAATAAAGTCAATAATATACTAAATAAAGTCAATAATACACTAAATAAAGTCAATAATACATTAAATAAAGTTAATAATACACTAAATAAAGTCAATAATACACTAACAATAGTTAATTGATACACAGACGACACAAACAACGGTAAATTGATAAATTAACGACCATAACTTGACGTACTCACGTTACGACAATTTATTGATATATCAACGACAGTTAATTATTTTGAAAAGGAAACTAAATCCCACAGATTTGTGAAGTGAACCATTTCATTACTCTAAGACTAAGTTAAGTTATCGGAATTAATGCAATGCCACTATGCAGTGTATCCAACAATACAGGTTACCTCTCTGAAGATGGTTTAAGTACAATTCAACTGACCGTCATCACCGGAATCTGGAGCCGTTTCATCAGCATAGACAATGCTGACAACAAAGAGGAGGGTGAGCATGGCCGTCTTCATCCTTAGCTATAGAGCGTCGGTTTTCTGTTAATGTTCGAGTAGATGTTACTGAGGATGATGCAGCTTAGAGAACACCTTATATACAAACTTGCCCACTGATTACACATTCATCAAGCAACAGGTGGTATTGGGGCGAGTTGTCAGTGTACAGACAACTGGGAAGGTGCTAATTGGATGGACAGATTTATGTCATGTGTATATATGTAATAGCGTACATGCACATTATATTGCACATCAGCGTTTTATTTTAAAATTTTACAATTATGGGAACATCAAAGTGCGTCTTATTCCTAGTATACACGATTGGTACAGTATACACGATTGGTACAGTATACACGATTGGTATATACGTTGTATTGGCGTTAACCTATTCATCCGTCGAGCCATTCAATCTTCAGATAACATACGCTATTTATTCAAATTAAAATTCCACTACTTTTACAAGACCTCGAATTTAATAGAATGTTGTTTGAATTGTATATTTGCCGCTGTTTTTCAAGGGTCGGGTCTTTTAAAAGTATTCTCCTTATTGACAAATTCAGCAAACTCTAAACATCAAATGACACGGCATGCGTTTTTGTCTACGTAAGCGGTGTAAACATCTGGCGTTTCATTTGCTGGTGATTTTTAGGTCTTTGATACTGAGCCTTTTTCATCAGTTTTGCCATTCTTGATCTTAATGCCCCCCCCCCCCCTCCCAAAAAAATAAAAACCCACCTAGGGTAGCTATCCTCAAAATAGTTTATCATATCACCCTATTGACATTTATATTTATGCTATTACGCTTTCCATTTTTCACTTAAAAGAGTATTCTTTTGTTCTGCTGACTTGTGTGAATCAATCCCATATTCGCTTTTACAAAACTTCCTAAATACTTACTTAAAATGCGAAATGTTAGTTATGAATGTCGATGAGGCTAAAACGGAGTAAACATGGAAGCCCCTATTAATGGTTTTATATGATATTGTTACTACTCTTTGTTGATATGTTTATTTAGCTATACAGGGAGGCTGATCAAGATATGTATGTTTGGTTATAATAGGGGGGTTCTGAACACGGATGACCAATATAGTGGGATTTCCTTATAGAGAAATTGGATTGCATCGTATACATACTATACACAGAGCGATGACAACGTTCACCCTATATTAAGGAAACCTTCGTTGACGCGATTACAAACAAGACATTAATATGTCTAGCATACTCAATTCCACGTGTACAGTGTAGGACTAACGTGAACAAATTAGCAGATCAACAGGTGGCGGAATACCTGGGGCAAACTGACCGTGCACGGTCAAAAATTAACAGATGGCGGAATACCTGAGGCAAACTGACCGTGCACGGTCAAAAATCAACAGATGATGATGCTTTGGGCAAAACTGAAGTAATGTTTCACAACTCCAACTGTATGAAATGATTAACACACCCGCAGTGATAAACGTGATTGCTTGAAGCATGCGTATTTGTCGATATTCTTACTCATAACCTTTAAATGAACTTTCACATAGCGAGACGATGTGTGTGCATAGCTTTGGCGTTATTTCGTTATTTAGCTTTGGCGTTATTTCGTTATTTAGCTTTGGCGTTATTTCGTCTTTTAGCTTTGGCGTTATTTCGTCTTTTCGCTTTGGCGTTATTTCGTTATTTAGCTTTGGCGTTATTTCGTCTTTTAGTTTTGGCGTTATTTCGTCTTTTAGCTTTGACGTTATTTCGTTATTTAGCTTTGGCGTTATTTCGTCTTTTCGCTCTGGTGTTATTTTGTCTTTTAGCTATGGCGTTATTTCGTCTTTTAGTTTTGGCGTTATTTCGTCTTTTCGCTTTGGCGTCTTTTCGCTTTGGCGTTATTTCGTCTTTTAGCTTCGGCGTTATTCCGTCTTTTCACTTTGGCGTTATTTCGTCTTTTCGCTTTGGCGTTATTTCGTTTTTTAGCTTTGGCGTTATTTCGTTATTTAGCTTTGGCGTTATACCGTCTTTTAGCATTGGCGTTATTTCGTCTTTCGCTTTGGTGTTATTTTGTTATTTAGCTTTGGCGTTATTTCGACTTTTTGCTTTGGCGTTATTTCGACTTTTCGCTTTGGTGTTATTTCGTTATTTAGGTTTGGCGTTATTTCGTCTTTTCGCTTTGGCGTTATTTCGTCTTTTCGCTCTGGCGTTATTTCGTCTTTTGGTATTACGACTTTTCGTTATTTCAATTTTCGTCTTTTCTTCTTTCAGCTTTGGCATTATTTCGTCTTTTCGCTTTGTCTATGTTTCGTCTCTTCATTACTTTGTCTTTTCGTTTTGCTTTGAGCTTGCTGTCACATCCCTATTTATCTATTACAGTGTTTTTTTATATTATTGTTGTTGTAATGATAATTACACCGCTTTATCACGTAGTCGGTCTCAAAGTGATTCACAAATTATTATCCGTTATTATAGGTCCTTTGCAAACAGCGAATATCTATTTCAACTCCATTGGAGCATACAGCAGATATTGCCATTTTGATTTTGGCGCTCACAGCTAACATTCAATAATTCTTGCATTGCCCAAACACGTACTCATTTACAGCAGAGTAGATTGGAACAATCGGAGTAAAGTATCTTGTTCAAATATACAACACAGTACCGTGACGTGACTCGAACCCACAACCGTTCGGTCACGAGCCCGGCGCCCTACCACTAGACTACAATGTCAGTAATTATTGAATAGAATAATGTTTAAATTGAACTTATGCGATAAATATACCTTATCGTTTAAGTTTAAACCAGAACGTTATCTATTATATTGCGGGTTTTTTTAGAGAGAATTTTACTAAATTGAGCAATGTGCTGAACTACAGTTTAAATCAGGCAAAAAAAAAAAAAAA